GATCTAGGCCCAAAATGTCAGCTTTCCTGCTCCTCTGATGCTGCTTGGCCTGCTGTGTTCATCCAGTCTACATCTTGTTATCTAAGACTTTAAATTTCCAATTTGGTTTCTTGATATACTACTTCAGAAAATCACTATGAGTAGTGGTTGTTAAATCTCAAAATACACTGAAAGCTTTACAGAGACTATTACCTTCAGATCTCCATCATTGTGTACTGTTAAAATATTACTTACACTATGAAAATATTACACCACCATTATTTTCAGCAATCAGGCATTGTTCTCCCAAAAATTGATTCCACATGAGGAAACAAAGTAATCCAAGAAAACAAAATCAATTTTATTTACATTTTTCCTTGGATAATTCCAGTCTATGTTCACCACTTCATTATCCATTACCAGACATGTCACAAAGATTGGTTCACCCACTTTCACTACGGTTTTCTCAGCTTCTATTTCAACATGAAGGTCATCTGCCACTAGAAAATAAAATACAGAAAGTTATTATTAAAAAGCATTTCAGGAAGAACGGACATGATAATGCTTTTTATTTAGCAATAACAAGTAACTGTTCAAAAATAATACATATAATTTATACTTCTTAGAAAGAAAGATGTTATGTATTTGCAACAAAATTGTGGAATAGCCTTATGATTTTACTATAAATGGCAAAAGAAGAACACTTCCCCCTTAGTGTTGAAGATGAGTAAAGAAACTCTCATTTTTACTGTGGAAAGAAATTCAGAAGTAGATGCGATTTTCTTGGCTGATAGTATCCCTAATTAAGCAATACTATATAGTGAGTAATAATGACAAGTCCTATACTTGGTCATATATGCTGATTGTTATTATCTTAATGTACAAAGCAAAGTGTGTGGGGTATCATTTAATATCAAGATGTAAATTCATCTTAAACATCTTCTAATTTAAATTTCCTTGATCTTTCAGAAGTTATAGTTAAAAATTCATCCTTAAAGTGTAACAATATTATTAATCACCTTTAATTGTCTTTATGTTTCAGACTAAGTTATCATGTTACTACACAAAGGTTTGCGATAGGGTCCATCTACCACAATGTGTTTACGCCTTGTAACCAAGGTTTGAAATGAATCAGTTCCAGTGGATTGAAAATCTCTTCTATCTTTTATAGTAGAGGACTAATGTGAAATTGGTTTGCAGCATCCACTTACTTCCTATTTAGTCTGGGAACCACATCTCAAAACAATAATAAAAACAAAAGTGCTATGGTTGCTGAAAATCTGAAACAAAAACAGAAAGTGCTGGAAAGCGAAAACTCAGCCGGTCAGGCAGCATCTGTGGAAAGAAAAACAGAGTTAATGTTACAAGGCCAGGGACTCTTCAAAAAAACCCTCACTTCTCATAATTTGATCATCTCACTCAGAGAAGTTAAAATAAGAAAAGACAAAGAAAGATAAGCGTCTTGGGCAGCACAGTAACTCAGCGGTTAGCACTGCTGCCTCACATCACCAGATCCGGATTCCATTTCAGTCTTGGATGACTGTGGATTTTGCAAATTCTCCCCGTGTCTGGGTAAGTTTCTGCTGGGTGCTCTGATTTCTTCCCACAGTCCAAAGATGAGCAAGTTAGGTGGATTGGCCATGCTAAAATTGCCCCTAGTGTCCAGGGATATGCAGGTGGGATAGCCATGGTAAGTACACAGATAGGGTAGGGGTCTAAGTTGGATGCTCTTTGAAGGATCGGTGCAGATCGATGAGCCAAAAGGCCTCTTTCTGCACTGTAGGGATTCAATGCTATGATTTATATGGCACCTTTCACAACTTCAGGACATCCCAAAGTGCTTTACAGTCAATGGAATATTTCTTTAGAATGTAGTCACTGTTGTAATGTAGGAAATTAAGTGGCCAATTTATACCCACATGCTCCCCACAAACAGCAATGTGATTATAAACATTTAATCTGCTTTTATGGTGCGGATTGAGAGATTAACACTGGCAAGGGAAACTCCCCTTCTTTTCTTTGAAATGGTGCTATGGGGCTGTTTATATCAGTCTGTCCTGTAGAGTTAGTATTGCACACAGAAGAAATCACCTCTGACACTACAGTATTCCAATGGAGCCATAGCCCAGATTTTTGTAGTGAGACTGCAACCTTCTAACACAGCAGCAAGTGTGCTATCAACTGAGCCACAGCTGAGTAAGCAACTGGGGTGGGGAAGCAGGGAATTGACGCTAATACAGCAGATAACGCTGTCCTGAGGCTGAATGAACGCATTATTGGATAGAATACAGGGAGATCATACTGTGTCTGTCTGTACTACACATGGCTGAGGTGGGCTCAATACTTCCATTCGTCAACGCTAATGTGGTTTACAGTGAAAGAAAAAGGCCTTTAAAAGAAAGTTTAAGATTTCTTGAAAAGTTGCAATTAATTGCAATACCAAAATTCTTCACACTTACTAGTACCATGTTATTCAAATGTTCAACAACATTTTTCTACATTGAGTGTTGAATTGATTGATTTTGAACTAACGGCAAATAAATTTATGAATTTATGAACAAACAAATAAATGTTCAATACATCTCAACTAGTGTTGTTCTAATGGAAGAAAATAATTCAAAAATTGCTTCACCTTTAAATCTATTAACAATGTACTCTTCTGATCTGTGCTCCACACCATTGATTGTTGTGATACAGGTATATGTCCCCTCTTTGAAGAGGCCACTGAATCCTTCTTTATTATTATAGGTTGTAGCAATCATGGTATTAGTATCGACATTAAGCAGAGTGACATGGACATCTGGATCAGATACACGACATGGGATTTCTGCAGTTTCACCCTCTGCTGCTATTACTATATTTTCAAAATACGCTTGTGGGATAAAAGGATAGTCAGGATCTGTAAAAAGACCAATAGATTTCATAATCAACTGTTTTGGCAAAGTTTGAAAGAAATAAAACTTAAAATGAATGAACAAAAAGTCTAAATGTATCTGTGATACATTTTGCAAAATATTACTCAGCATCTCCAATAGCCAACATCAAAATACTTTATCCTAAAACATGTGAAAATCGGGAGCATTTTCATTTCACACAAGTATCTTGCACTATTTGCACTCTCTGACAGGAACTGAGATACTGGTATGCTGCTTTTGTTGGAACAAGAATTTAGATGTAAAGATTATTTTTTTTTCAGTGAGAACTATTATCTTGCGCCTTGTTTCCACTACAAAGTTTTTCATGAAAGGGAACTAGCATTATTCAACACCTGGAATGAACTCTGGATTATAAAACATTGCACCGATGCCATACTAGAATGAAAAGACATCTTAGGGATTTTAGTCCGAGCCATGGTTACACAAAGCCGTCTAATTCAAAATGCTGAGTGTTTGGCAACTAAATATTGTGACTTCAACTAATTTTTTTTTTTTGGTTTGAATGACTTTCAGCTGCTCACAGTCGATTTGCCAAAGGGAGTTTCAGCTTAGAGCAAAGGAAAAACTGATGTCATCCAACTTGTCACTCATATTTTAACTTCTACCAGCCAAGCACACAGCATCCTGGAAAGTCTCCAATTCAAACTGTCAGACGGAGAGGTCATACTTTTTGCATAAACTAGCTGTGTAGAATGCAACAAACTAATTAGAAGAATTTCTGCTTTCATAAGAATTGAGGGCGATCAGACTACTCGATTTTCGGTTGGGTTTTTTGCGGTAAAGTCAGTGGAGATTCGAAATTCGTTTCAGTGAGCACATATTAGAATGGAGAGCAGAATGTTGTAACTAGAAGGAAAATAATAAAACAGGGGAGCTCTGGATACATTTAATGGTGGGAGCTGGGAGAGATTAAAGACAGGGTGGGAGTCTGAAGTTGACAACCAGGAAGAACTGAGAGTAGATGGTCAGACATGGGGTGGGCAGAATGGGTGGCATGGTTGGCTAAATAAGAGGGTTAAAGGGGTTGAAAGCATCGATGATATGGAGCAACAAGCAATCATCATCATTTATGGCTTAGCAAGTCCCAGTGAGGGAAGATAGGATATTTGAGATATGGGTGATGAGGGTTGAGTATAACTGTTGTTAAGATATATATATGATATTCCAGAAGTAATCAGCCCAGTCAATGATGTTAGAGGTGATGTAGGAGGAAAAGCATGGAATGGGAAAGCTACTAATTTTGATGTCCTATATTGCAATTGCCACACCTCTCTGCAAATAAGATTTGCTTTACAAGCCACGTTATTAAGTCTTGAAAGGTTCAAACATCAGGAACCTTGGTTTTGATGATGACTTGCCTGTTCAATCTTAGTAACATCTATCCTTGTGTATATTTGGCAGATGTTTATGTTTCCTTTAGTTTTTCTGCAGTGTTTTTCCTCCCCTGTTGACTAACCTGTTAATACTCATCAGTGGTATTCACACATTAGTGAGGCAATAGCAAATGTCAATCTGTATCCCAAAAAAGGAGTCAACACCATGATGAGAGAAAGGAGAGAGAAATTTGCTCAGAAATAGATATATTTATTGTGTCAGAGCTTGTAGAACCAGCACAAATTTCTAAGTCAAGTTTTTAGGGGCTTTGAATCCAAATTTGAAAGAAGTAATTCCAGCAATTCCAAATTAGAAGGGAGCTGCCTTGACGTTTCCATTGGTAAATGCAACGCAAAGTGTGGAATTGAGCTATGCAAAATCTTTGGAAGTGCCAGATCCAATCTCCAGTCTCAGTTAATTGATCTCAACCAGACTGCTATAATTGGTGTCTATATTCATGCTATAGAGAAAGAAAAGCAAATTAACCAAAGTTCCCTTTTGATGATAGCTGTATAGTAAGTATTGCTGTAAACAGTGAGCTTATGAAATGCAGTCATGGTGGGGCTCAGTTGCAACCTGTGCAAGGATTAACAAACTGTCAAAACTGACTGTACTGACTCACACTGGCTCACAAGAATGACTACATGGCTGAGGTACGAAATGGGTGGTACCCCCCAAGTAGTTTCACACAGCAGAATCGGACTTTCAGAAGAAATAGGGTGAAAAATAGTTCAAAAGGCAGCTAATAAAACCATTGACAGTTAAACCTAAAGCTTTCTTGTGTACAAACTTGAATTGTTCCTTTCAACGTGCACAGACCTGGAACAAAAACGTAGATATCTCGTCCCTCAATCTCCTCATCGAGCTGGAGTGATGGGTAATAGCAGGTGTACCTGCCAGTATAAATTCCTGTTGCATTATGGACCTCTAGTGATTTCACAAAGTTTCCACTGTTGTTGTTTTCATCTTTTCTACTGATATTCTCCTCAAAAGATTCGTAAACTGGCAACTCCCAATCCACTTCATTCTCCCCGGAGCACTTCAGGCTGAATGACGTATGGAGAGCAACTCTTATTTCAACTGTGCTGGGGTAAACATCTGGTACTGTCTGGCACTCAACCAGCTGGGGCCCTGAAAGCCAGCAAAAGAAGTATGATGATCATTCATAGAACTAAACGAATACTCTGCTGTGCTCAATTATCTTCTGTCAGAGCCAATTACTTCAATGTCACCACAAGCATAATGAAGTGCAGTTCAAACATTGGGATGCTCATACATGGAATAATCATTTACAGTGCTCCCAAATATATTATTCTTTCCCTCTTTCAGCACAATACCATTCACCACCTGAGAGGGGAGATGATTGTTCTGGCACCAGACATCTACCAATCAATTTCTGCAACACCCAGCTAGATGGTTCAGGGTGGTATTTCCAAAAGGTTTCCCCCATCTGTGGCAAGTAGCTTACATCTGATTAGCTCCTGCCTTGATGACCTGGCAGAAATTGGAAGATCACTAATCCATGCATTGAATATTTCCCATGCTGAATCTGTGATGGAATTTAGAAGGATAAGAGGGGAACTGATTGAAACTTACAGAATACCAACGGACTTTGATAGAGTGAGCATAGAAAAGGTGTTTCCAATAGTCAGAGAGACTAGGACCTGAGGGCACAGCCTCAAAATGAAGGGATGACCATTTAGAACTAAGATGAGGATGAATTTCTTCAGCCAGAGGGGGGTGAATCTGTGGAACTCATTGCCACAGAAGGCTGTGGAGGCCAAGTCATTGCATGTATTTAAGACAGAGATAGATAGATTTTTGATTTGTGAGGGCTATGGGAAAAAGGCAAGACAATGGGGTTGAGAACCATATGGAGCAGACTAGGTGGGCCAAATGGCCAAATTCTGCTTCTATACCTCATGGTCTATGTTCTTATAACACAATATATAAGAACCTTAGGGCACTTTAAGGCACGATATCACACTGGTAATTAAAGTCGGAGTAAAGAATAAAAGCTTAAATATGTTGTTTTTAATATAAAGTACATAAAAATACATTTTTGTAAATAGCATAGGCAATGAAAACACATAGTGAATCAGTTTCCAAATGATTGCATTGAGGGTGACACCTCGCTGATGACAAACATGTATCAGTACATTTTTCTGACACATTTCCTCCAAATGGTCAAAGAGTCATGTGAAGCATTCCTTTAGATTTCGTCTTGGCAGTTGAAGTTCCTAGATCATAGCATGCATTCTAAAAATTGAATTACTTGTTCTCATTATTGCATTGATTGATCTGATAACAGATGAGTGAGAAGCAATATCTAGAGACATCAGAAAAATTCAACCATTCGATGTACAAAGATACTTCTATTACCTCCTGTGCTTCATTCAATTCCCTCTTTAATTCCTCATGGTTGCCTTTGCATTGGCCACCACACATAAGCAACTTGCCCCAGCTGACCAACAAAATTCAATACAGGCATCTGTCATTTTAGCAGTTGATAAATACAAGACAAATAAACATAGGTAGAAAATTTGACAGAAAAACTAGGCTACTTGATGACAGTCTCCTGTGTGAGGCAGACATCAGATTTTTTTTTGGAAAAGAGGAAAAACAGGGACAGGAGTTGTTTGACATTGTATTCCTCAAATCTGATCATAAAATCCATAAATCTGATCATAAAATCCTGAATGCCTACCCAGACACCAAACAATGAATGACAAGGAGACAAAATGCTATGCAAATCTGCAACAGACCATCTCCTTTCCTTTAAAGGAGAACAAGCTCACCCTCAGAGATTTCAATTCCTAACTAGGCTGGGACCACAACAAACAGAAGAAGGAACATATTTTTCTGTTTCAGATTAAGAGTTTAAGTCAGTTTAATATTTTCGGTTGTACTGCACAGCCAAAACTGCATTTTTAAAAATAATTTTAATTTAGAATGCATACTGAGATGGTTACCTTTGAAGACTTCCAGGAAGAGGCAATCCACTATCAGGAATATCTTCCAGAATATGTCCATCTTTGTGGAAAGTTACTGAAGGAAAGAAAAGAGAGACATGATTGCCGAAACATTGAAAGGTTTTCTATAGTTTATTATTATTTGCAAGGTATGTTACTTCCCTGCTATATTCAAACAGTAAGGGCCTGTATAACTTATTTGATACTAAGTCACTACAATTTGTGTTACAGCCATTAGACAGGTTTCTCTTCTGATTTTCAAAAAATGCTTGGTAAGTAGGATTACATATGCTGCAGTATATTTTGGGCAATAGATTACTTTTAGTTTAAATAGTATTTTGATTAATGAATTAGCATATTCAGTAAACACTCTAATTAAAAAAAGTATCTATCATTCAGTCATTTACTTTATCACTACTTATAAAATGCATTTTTTAAATTAAATTTTTTTTAGCAGATACATTGTGACAGGAGCACACATAGGATAGCTGAGCTATCTGCCACTAAGCCACCCTGTTAACAGGGGAGGCCCCGCCCTCAATCACTTTGATCTAAGGAAACCCTTTGCATCTTCAGTCATGGACATACCAGAACCAGTTACTCAAATAGGAACCATGGCTCTTTACCTTTTCAGCCAACTTGAGTTTGGACTTCTTGAGAAAACCACTATTTTACAAGAAATCCAAAAATTGAACCATACTAAACTGAACTTAGCCAGATCAGATCGAACTGCTTCAACTAAGGTCAGCTTACCAAGACATTGTACTGCTTATGGAACTGACAATTTACTTTAGCCTCATTGGGTATAGTTTTTTCTTTTATTTGCAATATATAAAGAAACAGCTTGACATTTCCATAGATATTATACTAATCTCTAAACTGAATGGGCTTTGAAGTTTTGGAAAAATAGCAATTAATTCATGGGCACAGAAACAAAAATTGCTGGAGAAACTCAGCAGGTATAGCATCATTTGGGGAGAGAAAGCAGAGGCAATGTTTCACGTCCAGTGACCCTTCATCAGCCAGACATGCTGAGCTTCTCCAGCACTTTGTTTTGTTTCAGATTTCCAACATCCACAATCTTGATTTTAGTTAGCTCATGTTGTCTGCCATTGTTAATGAGGAAAGAGAAGTGGCAACTGGCAGTAAAGAAGAGATATATCAGAAATTCCATTTTTTCACAAGTTGCAACAATGATTTGCCCCACTCCACAGTAAACCTGACCAAAACCAGAAGTAAATCTTGTCATGAAATTGCTGGATAAATTTTGTTTATAGGAATAAATCTCACCACAGACATTTTGGACCACTAATTCATGTCATGAGGATGTGATTCATGAGGCCAACATGCCAACAAGCTTCCAGGCCCAACAACTCTATGGTCTCGCTCCCACAGATAGCAAATTACTTCTAGAATTTTCTGAATTTTAGTTTATTTATTGTTTTTCTCTTTGTACTCTCTGCAACTTAACAACGATTTTTATTATTTCTCTTTCTATATCTGAGTTGACTTGCATTTCCCTCATTTCCTGCTCTGTTGTTTGTTTTGTTTTCCTCTATTCACAAGTTCATTGGATAAGGAAATAAATGATTGAACCCAATATTCATGAGGTCTCAAAGCCCCCATTGGCTTTCTGCATCACTATCAACTTGCACTTTTAGCACTTAACAGTAGAAAAATAATACAATCTGAAGGCTAAAGTAAAAATCCAATTCATGAAGCATGTCAAAAGATGTACCATTTCAGCAATTTCTGAGCTAATCAATCACAAGCACTCTGAATGTACTATTATAAGAACTAGACCTGAAAGATTTGAGAATTTCTGAAGATCTAAACTTGAAGTACCACCCAGTGTTTATAGGATAATTATTTGAATGTTACGTGGCCATTTAAGAGCAACTATTTGTCCTTTGAAGCCTCTTCTTTAATTACTGCCTTGCCATCATCAGGCACTATTTGGTCATACCTCAATTGGACTTTTCCTTCTTTGGGACTAGAATGCAGCAGCCTGGTTTTGATGCTGTTAGCAGCGCAGCCAAAAAAGTTGGATAGAAATCTGCTCATTCCAAGCAATCCTTCTCACGGGAGATGTGCTGTGAGGATTTTGAACATTACAGCTGGCATAGGATGTATACCTTTCACAACCACAGCTTGGAAATTAAATAAACTCAGATTTGCTCACTGATCATTTCACAAAGTGTTGCATTCTTTTTCTCACACCCACAATCCCTGCCTATGTTGCCAAGAACACCCACATTCCTGCTGGACGCCAGTGCAGCCTTTTAGACTTGGTCTGTTATTCTTTACCATTCCTCAGGGCATCACCCGCCTCATCTAATTACATTTTACTCTACCAGGTAGTTTACACATTTTCTCAATGCATCTCCTCAGTTTCTCTATTCCTGTGTGTATGTCTATGTGTCAATGTGTGTGTGTCCTGGGCAGGGCATCAACAGTTCAACCCTGTGATATTTGTTTGGCATTCCTCACTAACAGAGTGCAGCACATTCAAACAGATAACAATACACAGTTGTTTTCACAGAATGGCCTTCTTTTCTTTGGGTTTTTGACTTCTTCCTGCAACCACAAGTCTCCAACCATTTGCAGACTGTGATGTCAATGTTGGCTGGGATCAGCTGGTTCCAAGCCCACTGCAGGGATATAGAGGGCATGGTCAGTTTTTCCGTTGGTGTACATCTACCCGTCTGAGATCCGATATGTGCAGAAATGCACATTCTGTAAGCTGAATATGAGCTCTGGTCTACACAGATTTCCAACACTCTAGAGGGGAATGAAACTATATGGACCAAGACTGTTGTAGATGTAAAAAGAAAATCCATGGAGAATGGAAACATTTCAGTGAATGATTTTGTTAGGGTCCCATTCAGAGATGCAAATTTACTGCACATATTTGTTCTGACACTGGTAGATATAGTCAAGCCTGTCGGGGCTTTTGTTCTTACCAGTGTTGAGTTCAGAATCTACAAACTCTTAGGTAATCTTTTAAGAATTGAAAGACCTCGTTACATATTGATATTCAATCAAGGACTTTTCTTAATCTAATGATCATCGGCTCCTAGTGTCATGAAAGGATAGAAAACTACATAAGGAATTCAAATTCAACTTTTGGATTGGTAATCATAAAATATTGTTTTTGGATCAACAAGATTATGTCAAATATAAATACTTGGTTGAGAGTCAGCTGCTGAATATTCGAAACCTCTTACCTAATGAGCACAGTGTGTACCTACATCTGCAGTACCATACAAATTCACCTGTCCTTGATGAACCTGTTTGTATGGGGGATAGGACATGACCTCTATCAGTGAGAATGTCTTATTTGACTAGAGTCTGGTATAGACAGTGCAATTTCAAAGTCTGCTGACTATATCAAACGTTGTAATGCGGTAATCAGTGAGGATGGTATCAGTAGACTTCAAGAGGCCATCAGCTGCTGAAATGACATATGACGATGCAAGCTACTGAGGATAATTTTGAGGTTCTTACACTTTGGGATGAACAACATGGAGAGACAGGACAACTTGAATTGTGAGATTTTAAGGGGTGTAGGAGAACAGAGGCTCCTGAGGTACATGTACACAAATCCTTGAAGGTGGCTGGAAAATCGATACAGGAGTAAAGAAAGTGTATGCTTACTTGTTTTTAACCAAGACCATTGAACACAAAAACAACAAAATAATGTTAAAACTTCACAATTGTTTTATAACTTCATGCAAATTTCTGGGTGCCACACTTTAGGAAGATGACAAGGCCATCTCGAGAACTGCAAAAAAGACTGCAAAAGCAGTTTTACCAGCATAATAGCAGGGATGAGGGACTTCTCTTTGATGGAAAACGGAGAGAAGCTGGAATTTTTCTCCTCAGAGCAGCTAATGTAACAATGAAATTTAAAAGAAGTATTCACAATGTTGGGGAGTTTGTCAGAGATGGAGAGACTGCCTAGTCCTACAAATGAGTCAGTAAGTGGAGGTCATGGATTTTAAATAATTGCCAAATGAGCTAGAAGTGGAAGAGTGAATTTTGCTTCCACATACTGTGGGTGGTTGTCCACATCAGGAATGCACAACCTGCGAGATGGTGAATGCAAAATCATAGGAAATAATTCTGACAGGCAGTACAAACTGTCAATTAAAATGGCACAGATTAATTAAGGACAGTCAAAAGAGGTTTGTTGAGGGAACATCATTGCTGACTAACATGATTGATTTTTTTTTTGGAAAGCTAAAAAGGTGGACCAATGAGGTAAATATGTTTGATATTATCCACGTAAATGCTAGCAAGGCATTTGACTCCTGGAATCCAAGGACAAATAGCAAGTAGAATGCAAAATTGGAAAAAGCAGAGGTCATGGTGAGTGACTGTGCTTTTGCAAATGGAAGGCTGATACCAGTGGGATTTAGCAAATGTCATGATGAGGTCCTTGCTTTTCATCATATCTATATGTCAGTAATTTAGGCTTAAATATAGGGTCACGATTGAAATGTTTACAAGATAATACAAAAATTTGAAGTGAGATATTGGTGAGGATGAATGCAAAGGATGACTGGATAACAGTAAAGATCTGACCAGATGGATGGAGAGGTGATTGATTCAGAGAATTGTGATTTAGTGCGTTTAAGAAGGTCAAACAAGGAAAGGGAATACACCATATGGAGTAGGATGCTGAGAAATCTGTAGAAACAGACAAACATCGAAGTACACATGCACAGCTTCCCTGAAGGTAGATATGAAGGTAAGGTAGCATGGGGGACACATTTCATTATTAGTCAAAGCGATGAATAAAAGAGCAGGTAAGTTATGTTAGAAGCGTCTAAAGCACTAGTTGGGCCACAACTAAAGTACCATATCCTGGTCCCCAAACTGCAGAGAGGATGCAATCAAACTTGAAAGAGCACAGGAAAGATTTACAGAAGTGTTGCCAGGAATGGAGAATTTTAGCGGTGGGAAAAGTTTGGATAGATAGATTGTTTTCTTTAGAACAGAGATATGCAAAATTGTGAAAGGTCTATTTCCCTTGACAGCAATAACTACAGCCAGGTAAAGTGATAAGTGAAA